CAATTAATGCCATTAACAAGCTTAATAAAGTAAGGAAACCGTTACAATTATGTACTCCTATAAAGGTCCACTCCTCATTTGTAATGATATTTGATTTTTATTTAATATATGTAATTATTCTTTTCTTTATTCATAAAGTTCCAACCGCAATTCTGGTAGAGATTATCATTCTGCTTTGAATTTTCTTTCCTTGTCAATTATTTTCATTATTTGTCTTATTCTTCAAACTATTGAGAAAGTGAAGAAAATTTTGGTTATCAGTAACCCTGATTTTTTCTTGATACTGACTTTGACCGAGAAAGAATATTGGATTTAAGAGGACTATATATTTTATATTTATAGTATATAGTATATAATATATAATATTTTATGTATAATATACAATTTCTTTAAGTATATTGAATATTTTAGGGAGAAAGTATATTATTTTATTTATATATGTTATTTAACCATTATTTCATATATATAAAATATATATTATATTCTATTATTTATTAATAAATTTAAATATATACCTTATATAATATATTACAATATATCTATACCACTATGTAAATAGTATACAATATACTCTCAGTTACATGCAATACTCGATGAACATAGATTACGTATAGTGAAATCTCTCCCCTATTTTTAATGAAAGCCAAAGGACATCAAGAGATGATTCATTGTACTTCAGTTGTAGTCAATTTGGTTAGGATAAAATTTAGGGATTTACAAAATTTTTAAGAAATAATTGGTTGTAGTCAATTCAGTTAGGCTTAAATTTAGGAAATGATAAGGATCTCATTAAATTTGCTAAAATTTTGGGATTCTAATTAAATGTTTTTCGTAGAGAGAGAAGAGATTTTTTAAGTTGAATAATTATCAATTGTATAAAATATTTTATAAAACGTGAATCAAATACTAGTGGTAGATGATGTAATATACTCTAATAGAAATTGTAGTTACGAAAATTCCTCTTATTTTTAATCGTAAGATCCAGACCTTGAGAATTCTAAAACCATGCGTTGATACCACGAATACTCACAGTCACACCTCTCTATAACAGCAGCCTTATATAATAACATTTTACTATAAAAGTCAATTTTTTTCGAAATCAAATTTCATGTTCTGCTATAATATATGTTTTCTATAATAACAATTCGCTATAACATCCAAACATATCTGGAACAAACGAGACTGTTATAGAAAGGTTTGATTGTACTATTTTAATTTTATATTAGCTAGAATAAAGGAGCTTAAAATTTACTCTAATTTATGAATGACCATTGTGACCCAATAGGGGCTAACAAGTAGCAAACCTACAAGTACAAACAGATCAAGTTCAGCATACCTAATTATTAATTTAAGCAGATTAGGCACTAAAGGGTGCGCAAAAGACCCACAATTACATGAAAAATAATTAAGCTAAGTACTTGAAATATGTTAAGTGTCCCTTAGCTAATACTAGATGTGCCCAACACTACCGTAGCATATTCCGGAATCATTTCTGTTGATAAGTAATCAAGGTTTATTAAGTATGTAACACCAAATAGGTGCTGATTTGAGTACATCCTTTGAATTAGAAAAAGATACAAAAGCTGGCAAAACAACCATGGAGACCTCCAGAGTTCTTGAATGTTATGAAGGAACTAAAAAGAGTGTCTAAGTTGTATACATCATATAAATTAGGTCCGAAAAGCTAACAGTTGCCCAACATAACTAATACATGTACAAAAAGTTATTTTGGCAATAGCATATGCAAATAAAATCTTAAACTATTTTCTCCAATACATGTGACAGGACCTTTGAAGATAAAGAGAGTGAATTTTTTTTCTTGTGGCAGAGCGACCAGCAAATATAAGGTCTCAAATACCAAAAGATATAAAAAGTAGTAAGATCGTTAAGTTTTCTCTTAAGCAATGACAAATAAGACCAAACGTGGCAAAATGAGTCCTGCAAGTTCTCTTTCTAATGAGGGCATATTAAATACACAAGAATCATATCCTTCAAAATTAAATCCCACACTTCTCAAAATTTACACTGACAATTTTCCTGGAAGGTTCTCTGTGACAGGACTCTAAATTTGAGCAGGAGCAGCTTTGATGTAAGCATCATCATCCACATGACAACATAAAACTATTAGTTTGGGTAACCAAAATGCCAAGTCATTCTTCTTTTTCTTTTTTACAAAAAAATAATAATTATATCAATAAATTCGAGTATGCTAGCCATTACACCTTTGACATGTGCATCAATTTTCAAACACAACATAGGCCACCATGTTTGTTTTAATAAATAGTACATATTGTAAGAGGTTGTGAAGAACTGGGTGTTAGGTCATCTTACTACCAAACCTCAAGCAAATTATTCAGTTATAATATCTTTCAACTTAGCTAATTATACCATTAGAAACAGTTATCTTAAGCACCATTTGGAGCTTAAAATGACCTTATGTCGAAAGAAATTATTTAATTTGACACAAACATAATTAGGGGTCGTTTGGTAGGGTGCATAAGAATAATGCTGAATATTGTGTAGTAGTAATGCTGGTATTAGTTATGCTTGCATTAGTTATGCTGACATATTTCTTATCCATTGTTTGGTTTGATGTATTAAAGCATTGCACAATTTCTAAAAGAATTTCTTATTTACAAAAATATCCTCAAAACCAGTCCATCACTCTAACTTTCTAAAAGAAACATATGTTGAGAAATGTTTTTATATGAAAAAGTTAAAAAAAAATTATTTGATTTGTCTACCTATATTGTAATATAGAACTAAATATTTATTTATAAAAAAAGAAATATGTTAAGTATTTATTTATTTACTAGAGATATAATTTTATTTCTCACTATTTGGATTATTTTAAACTTGCATTAATATAATAACTAGCACATTTTAATCAAGCATAAATTTTGAAGGACAATTTTGTCTTTAACTAAGCTAATGCATGTATTAAAAACCATTGCATTGCTAATACCATGGTTTTCTATGCATTAGTTATGCATAGGATAATACAAATAGAATGTATAACTAATGCTTGCATAACTAATGCATAGGTTCAAAATATTTACCAAACAAAGTATTATTAATACACAAAGCTAATGCATGCATTATTTTATCTAATGCATCCTACCAAACGACCCCTTATATGTATATAACACTATACACCTAAACAGAAAAATGTTATACAACCAATGCATATAAACTACAACGCATAAGTGTTATCTTTCTCATATAACCGCATAATAGATCGTAGCTAGAAACCCAAAAGTATACTGCTACACACGAAGGGAAAGCAAATCCAGGGGAGAAAAACAGAATAAGTAGATAAAAACTGAAATCTTGTCAAGGATGACATGATTTCAAATAAGAAGTTCCTCTTCAATATAAATATTCATTTGTGCGTTAGAGTCCGATCATCTGAATTTGAGCTTTGTTTTTCTATATCTTTGCGCAACATTTTTTTATATCAAATCTACCTAGTAAAATCGGTCATCTAAATACTACTATCAGCTATCTTTTTCCTTTTTTTTTTTTGGTTGAATGAGATGTAAGACTCTATTTTGAATATTCATACTACTTTGTGAAAAACTCTTTGTTCGTTGTATAGCCATTAATTACTTGCACCTTGTTAGGAATGGCCACTTATTTCTTCTTCTTTTTCTGAGCATGTTGTCAAATGCATAAATTCATATTCTGATAAAAGAGGAGCAATATAGAATCTATAATACTTTATCAGCAATGTACAAAATATATCTTCACCGGTTCAGTTACTCAATTTAGAAGAGTATTAAATATATCAGTCCAAGTTCAATAAATAATATGGATTTATAGCCATGCTACTCTTGTCAAAAGTTAAGGCTACTGTCTGATATACATATATAGTTGATATAGTATGTCTTCCCAGTGAAAGACTGTGATGTTAGATTGTTCATAGTTTTAGTGCTACATCTTGATGTGCTTAAATTTCTCTATCCATTCTCCTAAATTTCTTGAACCCAATCATAAAATATTATGCTCCTTGCCAAGAATCTACCCATCAAAATGTAATTTGACTATTTGCATTAAATTTGACAATTATATAATAATATGCCTTGTTCGAATCCTTAAAGAAACTACAGAAAGACAGCAAGTATGAAGCCTTGCACTATAACTGAAGTAAAAGAAATTTATGAAGTCAAGTAGTGCGACTTTTTCACTCTACCTCAAAAGCCAAGTAAGAAAGCAATCCTTCAAAGGGAAGGTAGTAGTATCAATAGAAGCATCACAACAAAATTATAGAACCCACAATATAAACACAACCTTTTTGCTAAGCTGGTAGTAACAATAAGTAAAAGTAAGTGTTACACAGGAAGGGAAGAGGAAAAAATGATTGTGGTGCATTTGAGTAGTGCTAGCTCCGCATGGACTAAATGTTCAACATGTTCAAGAAATAATAGCAACCAAAGATGACCAAATAAAAGCTTCACAAATTTATGATTGGATAAATTATTGTTTTTGCAACTCTTTTGTTTATTTTATTCTTCTTGAATTTCAGTTATATAACCATGCCTTAAGCACCAATCTGACAGATAAGTTAGTAATATAGAAGTACTACTTTAAAAAAACGCATTAATTTCTTTTGAATACAGAGATGGAGCAACATAGAGATGATCAACAGTAATTCAAACTGAGCAGGACCTTTAGCTTTATTAATAATATAGGCGATGTATCACTTTTTTTCTACCATTAGGGAAAACTTTAATTCCCTTTCTGAAAAAATACATTAATTTCTTTTGAATACAGAGATGGAGTAACATAGAGGTGATCAGCAGCAATTCAAACTGAGCAGGATCTTTTGCTTTATTAATAATATAGGTGATGTATCAACTTTTTTCTACCATTAGGGAAAACTTTAATTCCCTTTCCGAAAAAGATATGGATTTCTTTAAATTTAATTGTACCTCAAAACTGACTTAAAGTGAATTCATGTTTCTAACGCTAAGAAAAATTCTAGGAAAGTCAAACATATGAAGCTCAAGCACTTCGCCAAAGTAAAAATAGCATCATTTATAGTGCTATATCCACTTTTTTAGAATACGTGCTACTATTGAAAATAGTATAACATACAGTATTGAACTCCACTTCTCTCAGAATATAATATTTACTACTACATGATGTGATTCTTCTCTACTGTTTGCTTTGGCTTTCTTTCCACTTTTTTTCCTTCTCCGAATCCAAAAGGTGCAACGGCCAAAAAATGTGAAATATACACAAAGTTCATGAGAGAATCAGTTTGGTTTGGAACAATGATAAAGAACTATTCTGCCAATCTCCTAACACAGATGGACAGCAGATCCTACATCCTAGATGATTACTGACATTACAACATATTTTGGATTGACACGTTACAACACTCATTTCGAGGGGGAAATGGTAACCCATAGTATTTCTTCCAACACTACTAGTCATAACAATATCTCAAACACTAAACCTGTAGATCTTTATTTTTATTACAATAGAGAATAGTGGAAACACCATTATTGTATTGAAATTAACAATTGGAGAACATAACATTACATACCTTCCTCTTCCGATAAATTGGAGAATTTCTCAAATTTCAGTCCTTGATCTTGTCAGCACTAGTTTGAGTGGCACAAAAATTCTCTTCCTATACTAACCGGAAAGAGAATGAAGATATTATGCAATCATATAATTTATTTGTGCTCTCTGATAAAAATAGAGGGACCATGAGCACAGAGTTAAAAAGCTAATGTGCCTTCAAGTTAACTTTAATCACAAACCTATGTTTCATGTATAATTTGAAGCTACAGCAACAAATAAGCAACTTACATCAGGATGGTTGTGAGGAATAATCAATGGCTCCTTAGCGTTTCTCTTTACTTTTGATGTTGTTGATAATCAAATTGCAAACTTGGTTCTTGAACTTTGATGAAGCCAAGATTCTTTTGGCCATGAAACTACTGAAGGTTGGTCATTGACGCCTGAAGTCGTCCTCACTTTCTTCTCACAACATCTCTTTAGCTTTCTATTTTTAGTCACTATCACACAACGTCACTAATTGTTCTTCCCGTAATCCTTAAAATTTGCCGAAAATAATTGGTTCTAAGTTTTTCTGATTCTTAAGGAAGAGAATGTTGGCTATAAACATTGAAAATTGGGGACAAAAGGGTGGGGAAGCCGATGGAGGTTGCAGGGCATAGGTTGAAATCCAAATCAAAACCTGCCGGAAATTCTCATCCTCAGTTTAAGCCATACATTCATTTTAAATTTGCGAAAGCATCATTTTTCCTATTTAAAGGTGATTTTTTAGTAGGTACTACTATTACGTTTCCATATTTGTCCCTCTTTTTCTCTTTTTTTTCTTTCAATCACTCCTTTACTCTTTACTTTTGATGTTCTGGTTAAGGATTTTATTATATTTATCCTTTTCAGAACTTGACATAAAAAACGTCTTCAAAAAATATGCTAAGTGGACCTTTTTCAGTAAATGGTTTCATTCTTTATAGATACCGATGAAAATAAAGCAGTTGTTAAGGTTCAACACATTGACTTCACATGGAAATGTCACTTTGAACATACTTAAACAGGCAAAGTTTACTATCACATTCTTAATATTTCAGCAACATAATAACATGCAAGGTTTACTATCGAATTAATACCTTTTCAGCTAAATAAGGATATGCATATCAAAATTAGGCACAAAGACTGACATGCATTACCAGAATTAAGCAACAAAAGAGCCCAAAGAAGGGGACTACCAACACATGACCATCAAATTCCCATAATCAACATAAAGCTGCAATAAAAAAAGAAATAGGAGAGAAGAAAAAATGCGATGCAGTGAAAGCAATAACCACAAATACTTCTTGTAATTTACTCGACAATAATAAGAGTTCAGCCAATACCTCTCAAATATGAGCACCAATGATCACTATCGTAATTTCTTGGAGGTATCGCTTGTTTCTTCAGAAATTTTTTCAAACCCTAGTTTAACATCTCAAGTTCCTTAAATTAATAAATTACCCACATAAAACACTTACTGGAGTAAATACTAATCAGAACCAGGATTTTTTATCTCCAATGAGAGAAAGGAAGGCGGAATAGATTTAAAAAAAGGGTAAAAAGAATTGGAGAAAAACCAGAGAAGGAGAGCAACTAAGAAGAAGTACGGCAGGGCTGTGTAAGTTTTGTAATATAAATGGGGAATGAGAAGTGGAGACCAGTTTTCTTAACACGTGTCATCAGAAAAAGAGGAACATCGAAGGGCTGCAGTTGAAGGTCAAAGTACCGAAATGCCCATAACTAACAATCGTAATTCCTCTAATACCCCTGTTCGTACACTCTAACTCCCATTTCTATATACTACTAGATGTGATTAACCCGTGCTAAAGCACAGGCCCAATAATTTTGGTTATAATATTCTTTTGTTGGTTCTAGTGCAAATAATGCTTGTCATAATATTTTAATTAGATATTACGATCATAAATCACGTTTTATGTAAGTACACTTATCGCATTAGATGAATCCCCAGGATTTGCAAATACATAAAACATTTCTTGTTTTTCAGCTTCTTTCCTGATCACATTGGATTCTCATTTTTCTCAGCATCTTTCTTGATCACTGGGGCTATGTAGAAATCGTAAAGCTTTGAAGGGAAATACCGATAACAAAATCAAGAACCTCCAATAGATTTTTGGCTGCACATGAAACCACAACTTATTTTATGTAAAATAAGACGTGCATCAACCAAGCTAATAAAGATCCCCTTTTTCTATATCACTTGGTTTCAAATTCCACAAAAACAGCTGTAAAGCTACTAGAAAGGTTGAAGGCCAAATAATTCATGTCCTTTCAATCTGAAGATTTCAAGCATTTAACTGGGATAAAAGAAAAAAGGAGCAACACTGTCAAGATGATAAATTTATTGAGGAACAAAGCCTCACAAGATATCAAAAATATTACTGATCAAATATCTACATTTAGAACATTGCGCATTTGCAAAAAAATACGTTCTTTATCTTCCATGAAAATGTACTAAACAGTACCAAAGATCCTCGTGTACACGATATACTCTTCCTACTCCTCTGCAAGTAGTCCAGGAGTCCACAAGTTCTAGGATATCTCCAAATATCAAATCAAATGATACAATAATTTTGCTCCAACAAGTCTAATTATGAATGCAACTAAATCTTACATGAGGAATACATTCTATAGCTCCTCAAAAATCCTACTATTCCTTTCTAATCTAATGTAATTCATAAATGCATATCTGAATTGTTTTCCATACACTTGTGTGCATCTTTTCTCTTTTCATGCTAACAATTTAAAAGTTGCACCATACTTCCAGGCATCACCCAATGGACTCCATAGAAATTTAGGAACATATTTCATATCTGCCAGCTACATTACAGTGAACAAAGAGATAGAGATTCCACATCTGTCAATCTATTTATTGGTAGAAAACATATCACCCTTGAAACAAAATAATTTTATATTCTGAAAAGACAATCCAACATAAATTTAATTCAATTCACTTAAAGATCGATCTGTGTCCATTTAAGTGGGGATTAAAGGAAATAATACTCCCTCTGTTTCAATTTAGATGACACACTTTCCTTATTAGTCCGTTCCAAAAAGAATAACACTTCTACAATTAAAAATAATTTAACTTTAAACTCTTCATTTTCATTTAACTCTTAATGAGAAGCTTTTATAACCACACAAATGTCATGGCCCCACAAAGCTTTTACCCTTTAAGTTTTTAAAACCACAAGTTTCAAAAGTCTTCTTTTTATTCCTTAAACTTCGTGCCGAGTCAAACTACATCATCTAAATTGAAATGGAGGGAGTACACATTACACCAAGAAGCAAAAAGAAAGTTTGACATGCCTGAGTGGTCTCAACTATAGGAGAATTCTCCAGAAGCTTTTAGGCATGATAATATATCTTCGTATTCCAAAACTAAGATAACAATATTGAAAGTTTGTTGTTAAAAACATGAAAGAAAGTACTTACAATATCTCTTCTTTTTAACTTCTTCTGTGCCACAAAAGATCTCTGCAAACAGAGTAAAGATTGAAAATTTGATTCACGTATAATTTGGATATGAAGCTAGGTTTGAAGGAAGAAAATGCAATTTAGTACTACTTTGAAAGAGGTGTATTTTTCATAGATAAAAATCACATCATAGTTGGATAGTATTATATTTAGGGATGATTATAGAATGTTCGTGGTAGATGCAGAAAGAGATATCATTTCTTACCCTCATTAGAAAAGCCAGTTACAGAAAAGAAGCTTCTTTTACGTACGTTGATATCTAACTGACTAACAAAGAAAAAGATAAAAAGGAAAGACTCAAGCTTCCTAGGGGCATCCCTGTTAAGAAATCAATCTATCTATGTGAACTCAACCTATTCACACATCAATATTTATATTGCTGCTCCTTGTCCCTTTTCTAAGAGTTAATGAACTAATGTTCTACATTCTTTGTGGAATAAAATTTGCTATACCTTCTTGATAGTAAAATTGACTGTATATATCTCGTATCTCGTGTTTCAAAAAAACTGAAGTTGTTCTTTAGCTGAAAAGAAAAAGATAATTAATAATAAAATATTTATAAGTATAATGAACACTATCGAGGAAGTATATAAAATTATATGAGAAGCACTCAATGTTGTCTTAAGAGAGGGGTAGCCTTAGGTAGGAAGCTTTAGGGAGCCAATATAATGGGAAACAACTTCATGTACCAAGACAAACAATAGCATGGATGGCAAGAAAACAAACGAAAGGTGGATGGTCATAACATATGCAAAACATGAAGAGGAAGAAGTAAAAAATCAATTAGTGGATCTGTGTTTCTTGCCTTAAGTGGATAAGAATAGTGGCAAAACCATTGTTGTTTATACGTCTCAGATTTTCACATTCAACATATACAAAGATCTAAAAAGGATAATGAACTCACTTCTAGTTGCAGGTTTAGTATATGTGGTGCTTCCACCAGAGGGATAACCATTTTTATATAATTAACCCAAAGAATTTGATGCATATGTTAAAACCAGATCTTTTCGAAACCAGATCTTGTTGAAACTCTTATTTTATCTGGTACTAATTCAATTTTGGTATTCTTGTTGCATTAGCTTCATTCGGGATGTATCGTTCTATATTTAGATTTCTTATTTACTGAAGGATCCCAAAAAAAGAAGGTAAGAATATGAATCTATAGCCCACATAACTAAATTAAGTAGCATTATAGTTCTAACCAAAGTCCACATTTGTTAATAAAGGAAAATCACTTTCCTTTAACATTAGTTCCCTTTGAGATTGATATATTTTTACAAGAACAGGATTAGAGTATTCTATCTAGTAAAGTTAGTCTAAAGCATTAGGATTACTGCTACATTTGTCATACACAAGAAAAGCACAATGCGATTTTTTGTGTGTGGGGTGGGGGGGTGTTGTTAGAAAAGAATAGCTCCACCCTAAAAGATGTAAAATTAAAGTTAAATTGTATCATATGTAAAAATGAAGGTTAACCACTATATGCAGCATTGATGGACCGCATAGGCGATAATACAAAATGAGTACACAAATCGAATGAAAGAACTCTAATTTTGCAGTGACAATACATTTAGATATTAGCAAGCATCCTAAGTACTTTTTGTTTACTTGGAATCTAGGACATCGTTTCAGCAAAACCTCCATGCTAGCTACCCATAAATAAATTAGGGAATTTGACAAAACTATCATATTTCTTATACCTAGTAAACTACATCTACGTAAAACATTAGATTATAAACACATAATAAAATTCAGTAAATCATAGCTACTTAAAGTCATATGTAAAGAAAATACAAAATTAAGCTTGATGATACCTACACTACAACTACATAGCTATTTCTGAAGATTGATCACCTTACCCGGTCATGATCTCATGAGCTTCCTTTTTGCTAACTCTCTGATGAATATATCAGAACCTGTCATTTAAATGATGTGGCCAAGCAGATATTTCATTAGATAATTAAAATGACTTTACTGCAAATAGAGAAGTGTAACATGTTGTACAATAAATTACTATCAAATAAGTATTTATTTAGAAAATTAATAAAAGAAAATTATAGTGCTAAGTCAAAAGCATGAAAAAGCTGCATGAACTAACTTGGGTGAATAACCTATCCAGCTTGTAAAAAATAAGAGATACTACAAGAATAAGAAAAACTAAAAAACAGTATAATACCTTTTTTACTATCTGTAAGATTATATCCAAAGAAGAAAATCTTCAATCTTTGCTCACGTCCTGCAATTCTGAGTTCTCAAAATTTTTAAGTTGTGAGACTTTTCTATCATCAGCATCTTTGTGATTATTATGACTATAATTTTTCGTAGCAAGCTAGCAGAAAGAATATTTAAGTATAACTTATGGTGTTAGTTTAACATGTCATAAGTACTTCTAAATCGCAAAAGAAAAATCTTAAAAGTTGGATATCATATAAATCTTTATAACCGATTATGCATCTGATTATTATTGGAGGACTCAAAGATCACATGTAAAGATAACAGGAACATATCTTTTTCAATAGGATGCTACCAAAAGCCAACTCTCATTTTACCTTCTAAAGAAGTAAGAAAGGTTACAAGATCTTTTTCAGTCGAGTGACGCTAACTTTGTAAAATATGATAAGAGGCATTAAATCTTTGCCAACCTTCAAAGGGATAGTTTTAGGTATCCATTTGAACCAAACTCGTATTTAGATGAAATTGCAGGTAAGAATAACAAATAAACTCACCTTTATCTGTATGACTAACACATTCAAAATAAATCAGAATACAATGGGATATATAAGACATCATAACAAGATATTAGGAGTACAAGTATGGCCAATACATCCCCGCGGCTGATGGAGAAGAGTGACTTTGGTTCCATATCTACTACATACATGTTCAACTACTTCATGACTTAGCATGTAATGCTATAAAGTAACAGCGACATTGCATAGTTTTTTTCCGGATATAGAATGCAAAACTATCACTTGTTGTATTAATCATTAGTCGAGCATAATAATGGACTCTTTTTTCCTGAATTGCCTAAAGCTCAGTGACATATATTACTTAATTACACCTTGATGCCTTTCAAGTTTTTTTTTTCTTTTTCAATGACGTGCTCCCTATTCTTCATCATATTCCTCTCCTGCCACCAAAATTTTCGCTATGAAGAAATTGCACCAAGCACCACAAGCTCTAGTTGTGATTCCAGCCACTACTATCCATGCCAAACTTCTATAATTTATAAAGCTAGAGACAATCACTGACATGTATCATTTCTTGATTTAGCCTCAATTGGTTTACCTTTCCTCAATGGTCTTGCAACACCATCAACTGTAACTTCTTGAAATGTAGGTTCTTCTCCCAATTGCTCTACCTTTTGATTGCAATACCAAAAAATGGAAACATTAAAACTGGATACTCGGTCCCAAAAAAAAAGGATCCCTTCAATGATTGACAAAGAGAAATAAAATAAAAAATCATAAAATTTGGTGCATAAACAGTTGTATTTTCATAATTGAAATTAAGTTTGGTTACCCCTAAAAATCACATAGTATTATCCAGCAAATATCAAAAATCATGAACCTAACTAGGTTTAATTTCCTAGCATGCACGTATAAATTAGAGACAATTACTGACATGCATTATCCAATAGAATAGAAAAACTAACATATACCCACAAAAAGTCCCATTATCAAGAGCCGGGGGCATTAAACAAAGAAAAGTATCAACTGCAAATTAAAGGGAACTATAGATATTGTCTAAATAATAAGAAAATTATTTGACATGTACAGTGTACCAGTTTCAGCAAATAGTTGGCAAGTTTAGCAAATAACTGGAATATTCCTAGGCTTTCCCAAGAAGGAGCACAAGATCGTGCAGTATTCAGGAAAAAATGCTCTTCAACCTATAAAACGAAAGGGGGGAAACAAAGATGAAGCAAACTCAGAGAGATATATGAAGAAACAAAAGAAAAAACTAATCTTTTTGAAGAAGGATGGATGCTGGAAGAAACAGAGAAACTTGAAGAAAGAGGACAAAAATCGAAATCGAACAGAAGAAGCAATTCGAGATGATACTGATTGCTAACACCATACTCATGTATTTGTTACTGTTGTACAGATGTACACGTGTATATCACGTGTTTATTCACCAATGAATTAGGCACAACATTTCAGTACAATTTAGAATGCTCTTTGTACAATTTGTTAGTGCCGTGTTCGTCCCATTACTCCCATTTATATATAGTAGTAAATAGTGAAATAATGCTACAAAATTAAAGGAACTTGGCTAACTTCATTATAACTATCATGGGCGGCTTTCCAGCCATGCCCCATGACCCCTTGGGCGTTCCTTGTGGCGTCCTAGTAAGCCTCTCAATGCCTAGCGCCAAGGACGGCTTCGTGGTCTTGGCTGCGCCAAGTGGCAAGTGTGCATGTGCCTCTGTCTCTCCACCGATATCTCTCGCCAGCGCCCAGCCGCAAGCAGATGCCAACAGCGCCGCCCGCGCAAACAACGCTGCGTGTACAGATCTTGATACCAAAGACAATGCTGCTGACAACAGACCTGTTTTTGGCTTGTAAAAAACTAAGTCGTTTTTGTTGTATATATAAAGTAGTTTTATTTCATGTACTTCCATTATGTTTCTCTATCTTAGTCAAGTCTAGTCTTGTAACTTGGGTTTATTTTTTTAAGCACTATTAGGGGGGATCAAGCATTCAAAACTTTCTAGCAAGCAAACAATTCTTTGTACTGGCGTCTCTCCCCCTCGACACCGCATTGCCTTTTTGTAATAGCTTTCATTAATGCAATCAAGCTTTCTTTCATTCTCAATTCTCATTTATGTTCTCTCAATTTCTTTTGACATTGGTTTTTCCCTACGACACTGACAATTTCGTCTAGCATACGGAGGGTACCTCAGTTAGCGGACAGTAACTGCACTGATATTAATTGCTTAGCCTTACGTCGCCCTTCAAAGGAATGCCAGGAAGGCGCCTCGTAAAAGTTGGTATTAAAGCCTAGTCTTGACATCGGATAAGGGAACGCATTGCCATTACCACCATTTCTGATCATGGTGAATCATGAGGACCGCATTGTGGCCCTTGAAGAGACAGTTGACGCATTACGCCCCATCGTGGATACGGTGCGTGGACTAAGAACCAGCCTAGTGCAAAGGTAGGACGACTTGGACCGCAGAGTGCTCCAGGCCAAAGTTGACATAGAAAACATCAGTCGTGACTCCGAGGGAGACCGGCAAATGGTAGCCATAGATGCAGCCAAAATTTTTGGCAAATTCGAGGGACTCCAATAGGAGTGTGTCAAGAATTTAGCCTACAAGGTACAAGAGGCAGACAGGGTGACTGCTATGCAACAAACTATTGATAATTTGACAAACCAGCTCAATGTTGTCAATGCCGCTTTACAAGGCCTGCTTCGAGGAGGTGGAAACCAAATCGGGGGCGCTGTGAACCCCGCTTCCGCGACACAAAAACTAAAAATTCCTTAGCCAAAGCCATACAATGGAGCTAGGAATGCCAAGGAAGTGGAAAACTACATCTTTGACATCGAACAATACTTTGATGTTGTTGAGGGCATAAAAGAAGCTAAGAAGGTAGCAACTACTGCCATGTATCTTCAGGGTGATGCTAAACTCTGGTGGTGGGTGAAGTACGAAGCCATCAGGGCCGGTGAAGATGCTCTCAAGACATGGCGGAACTGAAGGTAGCCATACGCCTACAGTTCTTCCCCAAAAATATTGAATACAACGCAAGGAGAAAGCTACAGGAGCTCCGCCAGACCAAATTAGTGCGGGACTACGTGCGAGAATTCTCCGCGCTCATGCTAAACATACGTGACATGGGGGTCAAAGACAAGCTCTTCACCTTCTTGGAAGGGTTGAAACCTTATGCCCGTATGAAACCTTATACCCATGCCTTAAGAGCGTTCCTTGGCCTATGAAACTTCTATCGGCGATTTGCGAAAAACTACTCCCTCATTGCAGTACCATTGACAGAACTCCTCAAGAAGGTCACGCCTTGGGATTGGGGACCCAAGCGAGTGGAGGCCTTCAACGCATTGAAAGCGGCTATGTCTAGTAGCCTCGTCTTGGCCCTCCCTAATTTGGCCAAGCTATTCGAGGTACAAACAGATGCATCTAACTATGCCCTCGGCGGAGTCTTGCTACAGAAGGGCATCCTGTAACGTACGACAGCTGGAAGCTGAAGGATGCAGAGCGACGTTATGTCGCCCATGAGAAAGAATTATTGGCTGACGTCCACTGCTTGCGCCTTTGGAGGAACTATCTGCTGGGGACCCCGTTCGTGGTCAAGACAGACAACACAGTTGTTAGGCATTTCATGACCCAGCTGAAGCTGAATGGTCGACAGGCCAGGTGGCAGGAACTCCTAGATGAATTCCACTTCAACCTAGAGTATCGAAGTGGGAAGACCAATCATGTGGCTGATGTGCTCAGTCAGAGAGTTGATCTAGCATCCGTGTGCCTACTCGCCACTCTAAGAGGGAGCGAAGTAGCCACCATCATCAAGGACCAGATACAGGATCTACTCATCAAGGATCCTGCTGCACAGTATTTGGTTGATTTGGTAGGACAGGGCAAGACTCACCAGTTCTACACGAAAGATGGTTTTCTGAAAGTGAAAGGGAACCGACTTTATGTTCCTAAAGGAGGCGATTTGCGGAGGACTCTTCTGGCGGAATGCCATGATACTCTGTGGGCTTGCCATCCCGGTGAAGAACGCACCATGGCGTTACTTCGTCATGCATATTATTGGCCTCAAATGGCCGATGACGTCTTTCAGTATGTGAAAACTTGTCTAGTATGCCAGAAGGACAAGTTGGACCGCTTGACACAAGCGGAACTCTTGGAACCACTAGCTGTCCCAAAGAGACCTTGGGAAAGCATTTCCCTAGACTTCATCACCGGATTGCCCAAGGTCGGAGATCTCACAACTATCTTGGTTATAGTGGATCGTTTTCAAAGTATGCTACTTTTATAGCAGCCCCACAATATATATCAGTAGAAGATACATATCGACTCTTCTTCTCTCATGTCGTCAAATATTGGGGCCTGCCCAAGGACATTGTTAGTGGTCGCGACTCACGCTTCACTAGCAACGTTTGGACCCAACTCTTTAAGTGTCTCGGGTCAAAATTGAGTCACAACTCAAGTTTTCAACCACAATCTGATAGCCAGACGGAGCGGTTCAATGGTATGTTGGAGGGATATCTCCACCACTTTGTAACTGGATCATAGAAGAATTGGGTGAAGCTTCTGGATGCTGCTCAACTGTGTTTCAATTCACAAAAGAGCTCTAGTACAAATAAAAGCGCTTTTGAAATTATTACCGGACAACAACCGCTACCCCACACACAGTGAATGCACCAAACTTGTCTAAATCTCCTCGAGCTGCTTGCTTCTCAAAAGAATGGAAGCAAAATTTGGAGATAGTGCAGAGCTATCTTGTCAAAGCTCAAAAGAGGATGAAGAGGCATGCTGATCAAAATCATTGCTGTGTTGAATACCAAGTAGGAGACAAAGTGATGGTCAAAATCCCAAAGCGGTACTTATTTGCGAAGGTCCATAACCCTCACCTATTGCAAAAATACATTGGGCCCTTGTCCATTGAAAGGCGCATTGGGAAAGTTACATACCGGGTGGATACCCCAGCTTGGTGGAAAATTCATCGTGTCTTCCATGTCAGCCTTCTGAAACCTTTTCGGGAAGACACAGAGGATCTTTCACGGAGCCAGCTCACAATACCCAGTATTCGAGGTCCCAATTCAACCCGAGAAATGGCGTGTTGAAGCTATCCTTGATGATAGAGTGATTCATGCCTAAAGGAAGGATCACCAAGAGTTCTTGGTGAAATGCCAGGGCTGTGATGCAGAGAAGAATACTTGGGAGAGGGGAACAAACCTCAAAGCCTACAAGAGTCTAATTGAAGATTATCATGCAAGTAAGGCACCGAGGACGTCGCCAACTCAGGTGGGGGAGAATGTCATGTGCGACTTTCCAGCCATGCCCTATGACCCCCTGGGCATGCCCAGTGGTGTCCTAGCAAACCTCACAGTGCCTAGCGCCATAGACGGCCCTGTGGTCTTGGTTGTGCCAAGTGATAAGCGCGCATGTGCCTCTATCGCCCCACCGATATTCCTCGCCAACGCCCAGCCGCAGGCAGATTCCAATAGCGCCCCGCGCACAGGCAATGCCGAGCGCGCAGACCGTGATGCCAAAGACAATGCTGCTGGCAACAGACCTGTTTCTGCCTTGTAGAAAACTAAGTCCTTTTTAGTATAAATATAGTGTAGTTTTATTTCATGTACTTCCATTATGTTTCTCTAGCTTAGTCAAGTCTAGTCTTGTAACTTGAGTTTATTCTTTTTTAAGCACTATTAGGGGAGATCAAGCATTCAAAACTTTCTAGCAAGCAAACACTTCTCCGTACTGGTGTCTCTCTCCCTCGACACCGCGTTGCCTTTTTGTAATAGCTTTCATTAATGCAATCAAGCTTTCTTTCATTCTCAATTCTCATTTATGTTCTCTCAATTGCTCTTGACATTGGTTTTCCCGTACAGCACTGACAATCTCGTCTAGCATACAGAGAGGGCCTCAGTTGGCGAATAGTAACTGCACTAACATCAGTTGCTTAGCCTTACGTCGCCCTTCCAAAGAATCTTAAGAAGGCACCGCATAACATAACTAATGATTTTTGCTTTTCAATAGTTGCGACAAGATGGCTCCGTAGTAAAACACACACAAAAAAAAAGATTAGATGCATATTTTGAAGAGAACATTTGATTAATTGTAGTGCTATATATAGTAAGTAGTACTTGATTAATGAGGAATGTAATGCAATATTAATGGTAATTGTTTATCGATCAAAATGATCAAATTTATATATAAATATAAAATTGGGAATTAGCAAGCTGACGTGGCACCTTTGTCTGCCCAGCAATTATAATTATTTTTTTCTCCTTTTTTTGGCATCTTCTTCCTTTCTCATTCAATTATTATTACTTTTAAAAAGTCTAAAATTCTTAATTAAATACTCCATAAACAACTGTTACGTCTTTTACTAAGGAGTCCCAAACGTTACCTTAAATCCCAATAAAAGAGCCGTCCTTGGATCTCTGTTTTCTTCACCACACTACTCTCCCCCAAATACAACAACAACAACAACAACCCAGTGTAATCCCACAAGTGGGGTCTGGGGAGGGTAATATGTACGCAGACCTTACTTCTACCCCGAGGGGCAGAGGGGCTGTTTCCAGGAGAACCTCGGCTCAAAGAGGCAACAAGAGACACTATATTAGTACTATCAATAGACTAATAATAAAACACCATAAAATACCATAAAATCCATAACATAACATAAATACCATAAAAACAAAGTAACAACAATATAAGAGATATAGGAAATACGAGAATATGTAAGGTATTAATACACAGAAGATAAAGCCCATCATCAGTAGTTGATAAATAGCATCCTAAGACTAATTCCTAACTGGCTAGTCTCGCTCTAGTGCGCTGTAAAAAGACATCACAATTTCCCCTAAATAGAAGACGGAAAACTCAACAAGGCAAATTAGAACAACTGGTAGCAACCTTTCAATTCAGATTCGGAATCGGAGTCCGAGAAAATCAGTCCGAGAAAAGTTCATGACTTTGCACTTTGCAGGTAATTTTTTTTGGTTTCTAAATTGTCCTAATTGTTTCTACTAAATTTTATTGTTATTTATTTTTAGAACAATTTGAGAGAATGCTATGACTGCTCTAAATGCTGAAACTCGAATGTGAAATGTGCCCAAATGGAGAATAGTTGATTGAAGCGGGTATCAATCTTTATATTATTTCAAAAGAGAGGTCTTTTTGTGCTTAGAACAACTTTCTGTTGTTATTGGACTTCTCATAGTCTAACCTACATTATTGTTTTGTTTGAAATATTGGTTTGATTTGTTCAATTTTAGGTCTATATGTTGTGATTTGGTACTATTGCGGGTTCTACATTTTTCTGATTGTATTGGTGTCTCCACATTCTACTTTGGTCTTTATGGTTTCTTTTTGCTTTCCCTACTCTGACAAATATGGAGGACCTGAAAAGATTTGGTGGTTTTGAATGAGGATTAAAAAGAGCCCGGAAACTATAATTCAATTTATTATGCTTGGGTTTCTTCTATCCTATATCGGAATTAATTATGTACCAAATCTTTTTCCTTTTTCCTGCCTGCCTTTTAGCTACTATTACGGCACTGATAACCTGAATTTTCAGGGTTATAACTTGGCGGTTTGTATTACATGTGTTGTTCATTTATTGTCGGTTGCTTTCGGCTATTGAAAAATTATGATCTATATATGATCGGCTTTCTTGATTTGTTCTTTTCTTTTTTCATCAAATTTTGGCAGAGTATGAGTCCAAGCTTTTTCTCTTCTTTCTTCCTTTCCATTTTGCTTTTACCATATTTGTCTTGAGAGTGGGATTTATGTTAAGAGAAAAAGATTAAAAGAAAAATAATTACTAAAAGGATGCTCCTTTTTTTAACTGATGAAGTAAGATGTTACCTTGCTGGCATCAAGAAGATACTACGAGTACTTAAAGAGAGGTGTTACTTCATAACAATATGTTCTATACAAAACCAAAATGTAGGCTGTCAAGTCAGGGTAAGAGAGCTAAACTCAAGCAAAGGAATAACATTATTTACCGGGGAAAGATTACTCCATTCTTTACGCTCTTTTTGATTTTATATATTTCTATTCATCCATATAGAAAGAGGAGAAAGGGCTTGATATGCTATTTTCGAGAGTTTAATTAGTCTCTTGCTTGGCTTTGCAATTTGCACTTACCTATGTCGTTCTTTATTTCCGAATGATATAATTGGTATATTTTTAGTGTTATACCTGTTTGAATGTGTTGTTTTTCTTCCGGCGTGATTTTCCTCTTATACAGTTACACAGGTAAAATTGGAAACGCAGAAGTTACTTTAAAGTATGTTTCTATTCATTGTTATTTGTTATGTACTATTGAATCTCCTTCAATTGCAATTGCAGGTACAATAAAGAAATTAAGTGTGCCACTATTACTCAAGGTGCTTATTTTGGCGTCCAATGGGATGCGTCATTCTTTTCATCTTTGCTCATATTATTGGTGGTAATAAGCTATTTATGCTATAAATCTATAAGTAAAGGTGGTATCACGTGATGTAACTGCTGCCTTTGCAACTGATGCCCACATGCAACGGTTTAACTTGCATTATATGTTGGAAGAGTTCAAATGCAACAATCATAAACGTTCTAAATGGTGACTTTAAAGTATTTGCTTTATTTTTCTTAGTTGATGGCATCTCTAAACTATGGCTTACCTAAAAATAGTATATGAAACCTATGGCACCATCTTTGGAGAATCAATTCTCCGACCAAACATAAATCAGACATGTCCCAGGTATTGTTAATTCTTATACTTGCTGTTGTCATCCTTTATCTGTTAGTAGTTCATTTGAACACAAGATATGATAAGTTGCATGATTGTTTTTTCCATGTTTTCTAGCAGGTTGGTCTGAACAATATGTATATATGGACGTATTTATGGAGATAAATATCGGCAATTGAAACAGTTATTCAAGGAGTTGAAAGACTCAAAATTAGCTTTGACAAAGTTAATCCTTTATTTGTTTTGTACCTTTTTGATTGTAATGTTACATGTTTATTTATGCTCTACTCCAATTTTGTTATGATTAGGAATATTGTCCTAATCCATTTAGAAAATATTTTTTCCTTAAATGTAATCCTTTTCGCAATGCCGGGGAGTAGCTCTATCCATCTATAACAGAAATGAGGGCTTCTTTAGAAGATATCGAAGTTAACTAATGAAATTTTTTATACTTCTACACACTATTTTGGTATCACTTTGTTGATTAATGTTAAAATAGTTGTTTCCCTATTTTATTTGATGTAAGACATTTGAATCATATTACTACCAAAAGCTATAAAAAAGAAAAAGATATTGTATCTTCTGTTCTCATTTTTTTCCCTTTTTCCTTTAACAATCATTTTTCACTAATGTGCTACTATATTGCATACATTTAAGATGGAATTTAAAAAGATTAAACTGATATACTTAATTGATTTCTAATGTTATGTTTGTTCTTTTTCTATTCCTGACTGTTTCTTTTATTAATTAGTTTGAATAATACGTATTAGTTTCCACAAGCTATAAATATCGTTTACTCAATACGGTTTTATGCGCTATGCATAGAGTTTGTTTCTAGCATAATTTGGATTGGCCACTAAGTAATTGCCTGAACTGCAATCATTTTTATATTGTTGACAAGAACTATAAAAAGATATGTATTTCTTCCTTTTTGTTTATTTTCCTATTTTAGTTTCTTCATGTGTGTCTTTCTCTTATATAGTAATTTTTTTTTGTATGTATAGCCGTATATATTTGCTTTTTTAAAAAAATCAATTTTAGCATTTCAAAGAATTTTTAGATTATTAAGGAGACTCATAACATAGATGTTTGAACTAACTATATATTTTCTTTGCTCACGTTAATTCACTAGTGGAAGAATATTGCCAAGTATGTGATAAACCACCTGAACGTTTTTTTAAAACTAAATTGTCTCCTACTCTCTCGATATATGCTACCTACATGACATCATCGAACAGATCAGTCAGTGGAACTAAAAATAAATTTTGGATATCAAGTGAGTTCCAAGAAAAGCATATTTTCTTGAGAAAGTTTTATTTTGTGTAAGTTGTATGAGACTCATTTTTGTCTTACAAATTTGTGGACCCCAATCTTACACTTCTGGGTTCACAGAAATTTAGGTCCACAAAATTGTGGGACAAAAAATTTGTTTTATACAACTAGTGTCAGTTGTATGAGACAGAAACTAAAATTTTCGTGTTCTTACACCTGATAGACTTTTACATGTGCCTCGTTAAACTTACATCACTCTTGACATCACAGAATTCAGAAACTATTAGTACCATGGGCTGAGCAAACCTGCGTGAATTCGGCCGAAGTCAATTACTTTTGCTTAGATATTATATTTGATTAGAAAATAAATTAATTATATATAAATATTTAATTTATGAACTCAATACAAAGACGAGCTATGAATTTCATAAAAAATTCAAAATTCATAAACTTTAAATCATAATTTCGCTTATGACGAGTAGTAATTCACTAGTTCTATAATACAGTGTACACCAGGTTCCATGTATGGGTTTGGTGAGCCAGAAAACTAGTGGACATTTTTATAACGAAAGTAAAAGGAAGTTGAATCTTATAATACATTCTTCTTGGTCTTTGAAACTCTATCATTTGCTGATGATTGACACCTGTCTTATTGGTCGTTGGAGGCATAAATTAACGGATTGAATTTGAAAGGGTACTTTGATTACTGGACTCTCTCACCTTAATAAAACTCAAATACTACTGTCTAACTATATATATATTGTTTCGAATGAGGCGAATCTCATTGGTAAGGTCAGAATTAAATATATAGAGCGTTCACGTGGCTTTAGCCAATGGCAATCCGATTCAACTGACAAATCACCCGCGGCATTTTATGATTCATCTCGTCTCCCAAAACTACTCTTTTAAGAAAATTACTGATCAGTTTCAGGTTCGCAAAATAATGCAAGGGTTAATAGCTCCAGATGTCACTAAAATAACTAATTCTCATGTTATTGAGAGTTTAATTGTTTCATCCCATACAGGAAAGAAAGCAAGTGAGGCGGGCTAAGATTCCATTCGAAGTCTTATGGCCCCGCCCACGCTAGGATATTCTGTTTATTGAGCCTCATTTTTTTCAAGCTTAAAGACTGCATATATGCTCAAAATAATATAATAGAAACCATTTGAGTTAAAAGTAGTAATTAGTTCAAATCATATAGTAAATGTGAGGGTAAAGACTATATAAGGGTTTGATTGCAGAAATTAGGATAACTTTTGATAAGACAAATACAATAAACTAATACGGATGTCGTAATGGTAGTACGGTTTGCTTCCAATAGTGTTAAGGTCGAGATAAATAATGAAATATAGGCGTGCACTCCGTGTACTTTGCATTTCTTCTTGATAGGAGAATCCTCACTTGTATCCTTCACGTGTTTGTCGACCCCATTCTGTTTTTATGTCTGCGAACGAAATAAAGATAAAGAGAGAGAAAAAGCTCTGAAAGGAAATAAGATTGCATCAATGGAAAAACCTATTTAACCGAGACGAGTTTGGTATTGGAGTATTGGACGGGTTGAATGATTTTGGTTCAAATTGCCGCTTTTTCACTTCGATGAGTTTAAGTCTATAATGTACTGGTAATTAAGGTGACAGATGAATTTAAAGAATAATCGTTCTTTTACTAAAATTTGAAGGGCTAGTAACATCAACACTAAAACCAGTGTAAATCCACAAGTGGGTCTGCGGAGGGTAGCGTACATACGGACCTTACCCCTACCTTCAAGTAGTGGCGAAATCAAGATTTTCACTAAGGGGAGTCAAAATATAAGGAAATAAATTCACCAAAAAGTCAAAGGGTGTCAATACATAGTATATATACATATTTTAAAAAAATTACCTAACTACACCGTATAATTTTCCGACCAAGGGGTGTCGGTTGACACCCCTTGAGTGCATGTTGTTTGACCAAAAAGTGCTAAGCTTTTTGTTAAACTAATTAATGAAGAAAAAGGAGGATAAATCTTAGCCAAACATAATTAACTCTAGATCTAAACATAGTGAATACGAAAATCAAACGAGATCGAGTTTATATAACTCTTCCTAAGGTTATAAAAAGGCATCGAACATGAATGATAAGCTTACATCTTTGATACATTGTTCCATACTTGTAAGAGCAAAGAGGGAAGGAATGCTATTGACAATTATGAGATCTATCTTTATTGATTCAGCGATGGTCATTGCAGGGGCTTACAACCAAAATCTGAACTTTTGCTTTGTTGTTGGAGGTCTCCCCCTATTCTTCTGTTCCTTTTTCTTTTCAGGGAGTCGGTCCCTCTCTTTTGTCTTCTTCTTTTCCATTTATACTACTCATTTCCCCCTTGTCTAACGGTCTTTAACCAAGATATCCTCTCTTGATTATACTTTCCATTACTCCCCTCAAGCATTACGACACGTGTTTTGCCGTACCAGCTTAGTGATGGCTCGTTCTCGGCAATGGACGAGATGCTTATTGTTGTTATGCCTTGTTAGTATGACCACGACTCAGTCTATGACCACGACTCAGTCGACCCCTTATCTTTCCTTTTAGCGTCTATCCACGTGTGGACAGATTTTGACCTATACAGTTAGTCCCTCCGCCCGTAGGGGTTGCCTCTTGGTGAGCTCGATGGGCGGACTCTGTTGATTCAACAAGTGGGAGAAATCTGATTGCCTTACACAAGCGTCGAGGTCCTCAAGGCAAGATAGCGATGTGACGCTTCAAGAACTGCATCAGACCGTTACGCCAGTTCGGAATTGGACCGTCACATCAATTCGGGATGTCATAAATACTTCGTGTCATTATGGCGCATGTTTCCCAAGCGTCGTGTCGTTTCCCTTGACCCTTCCGTTTTTTAATTGGCGGCTCTAGGTTTTCCCACCCAGGACATTTATACCCTTATAAATAGAGGGAGAGCCTCTCATTTGAATGTTGCATTTTTCAACTGTCTTCAGAAAGAACTTTGCAAAATTCTTCCTTCCTCTCTAGTCTTTCATACTTCTGCTTTTGCTAGAATTCACTGTAACCATTGCCTTTTCTCTTTCATCATTCTCGTTTATCTTGATCGAAGAAAACAAATGGCTAATACTCCTTCTCAGTCTGACAGAGATGTTGGTGCTCCGACACCGGAAAGTGACGTTTCCCTACTTGAAGAGGGAGCGGAGGTGGTGGAAGACAAGGGGTTTCCGAAAGTGGATGAGTTAGTTCCCCATCCCGGGAAGGCTAGGACCGATTTTAAAAGTCCTGTCGAAGATGAACCGAGGCCCGTACCTTCCACTATGGATGAGGCGGTGATCATGGTGCTAAAAGCCAAGTGGGGGATCCCCGCTCATATCGAAATGGTGCCGGTAGGGAGGGATATAGTGCATTTGCACCGCCTGGGATACTACGCATTTTACGCGTATCCCTTTGTTATCGGGTACACGCTTCCCCTTCCTTCTCTTGTGGTGGACTTTTGCCATTTTTATGAAGTGTGCCCGACTCAACACTCTTCGTATGCATACAAGATTTTTCTTATGCTCATCAAGTATGCGGAGCTGGCTGACCGATGAATTTCCCTAGGGCCCATGCTTCACATCTTCGCCCCTCATTTTCTTCGGGGTACGATAATCCATATGTGCAATCGGGGAGCCAAGAGTCTGGTGGTGAAGATGGACGATAAGGCCAATCACCCCTTTTGGGAAAGCTACTTCTATATGCGGACAAAGCACCTTGTGGTGAACTCGGCAGGGTTTCCGGAGACGTGGAATTTTGCTCGTGAGTTTTCCCCTGTTTACTTTGTGATTTTTCTTAAGACGACCGTTGATCGTCTTTCTTTCGGTGATTTCGCTGAGGATTTGTTTTTGCTTTTGCAGCCGAGAGATTACCTCCCACCCTAGTTTCCGATATCCGTGAGTAGGTGAGCACAATTCTCCCCCACACGATGGGGATTCGTGAGTGGGCGCCTTTCCATGAGAAGTTCGGGCGCAAACCCCTTACTGGTGAGTTGGTTTGTAGTTTTGCTTTGCTCTCTACTTCATAGTTTTTTTAACCTTGTCGTTATATGATCTAATCCCTCCTTGCTGACAGGTCGG